AATGAGCAACTTAAATGACTGAAGGATTCTGCCCTAAAGAGACCCACCACAAAAACCAGAAACTTTGATACACTACTATAAGCTTCAAGAGAAGCAGAAATTCACAGGAAGCCGTAAAATAATCAGTGTTGACATGAATGCAGTGTAGTCAGTGAAGCATAAGTGATAGTGTGGTAATGGCTGCAAAGCATCGATGCAGAGAGGATGGCTTCTATTTACTGCAGTTGTTACCAAACAGCTGAATGCTCTTTTGGGAATCTTACTACATTCCTGGCTTCAATAATATTTCTTTCAGTTTTCTATGTGTTAATTTTGTATTTGAGAAGAACAAAATCTATTACAAACCAGTGAGAGCAATCCAAACCCTTCAGCAAGGATAGTGACTTGTTTCAGGTTCTTTAATTTCAATTTGTGGCTGTAGATAAATAATTTTTATTAAAAAAACATCCATGTGAACATATTAAGCACTGGGAGGTTTTTCTGGTTTACTTCAGAGTTGAGTTTTTTTGATTTAGCAGCCTTTTTCTTCCCTTTCTTGTATAGAGATACATTTTAGTTGCATATCCAAACAAAGCTATTCTGTCTTACTAAATGAGTGAATAATGTTCTGGAAGGACATTTGATGTCTACAACAGCACAATCCACATCTGTTGGTGTCACTGTTACGGTTTCATGCTGTTCCTGATGATTCATGGCAAAAGACTTTTTGTTTTGATTCTTAATCAATGGCAAATGCTAATTGCAGAGATGTTCAGGTTATATTATCAACTGCTTCTGTCTGTATAACAGCTGAAGAATAAGGAAGTTTCTGAATCCATCACTTTTTCAAGAGAAACCCGTAAGATGCTTTCATAAACAGCAGCTGGTAATAGGATATTTTTCAGACTTGTCTTGTGTGTGTCATATAAAAAAAAGTTGTAATATTTTGCATTATGTGTGTGGCTAAACATGAGCAACTTGCAGTAGTTTATGGTCTGTGGTGCAAAGCACAGTGCCAGGTTTATTCAGCTGTGTATCCTCTAGGTCTGCAATACTAATTTTCTATGCTTGGTATGTCTTCTAACAGAATGATGGATGTCTGTTCACTGTGTGGGATGTGTCAGTGTTTGCTAAACATCGTCTGTGCCTCTTCGTTAACTTTAGATAAACTAGGGGAGGTATTTCACCCTGCGGGAAATATCAGCGGTAGCACAGGATGCTGGAATGAGTTATATAGTGTTATGCAGGGTTTGTTCTGTATGTTTTATGTTTTCAAGAATTTCTGAAATTATGAAACTTGTTCTTTCAGTGCACAAACAATTTCAATGTCCTAGGCTGTTCAGTGTCCCACGACTTTGTCTATAGGTTTGTTGTTGTTTTTTTTTTAATTATTATTGTTGTTATTTTTTATTTTAACTTGTGGTTTGTAGATTTGACTATTACCTAATACTTCTGCAGAACTGGAATACTTTGGCCGATAAAGGAAAATAAGTCTCCCAAAACTGGTGGTAATACACTGGGGGGTTTTTGTGTGTCTCTCTCTCCAAAGGTACAGATAAGAGCCTGAATTAAAAGCAAGAAGATGCTTCAATTCACACTCTGCAGTGAGCTAAAAGCTTGAAATGCCCATTATTGCTGTCCCTGGCCTTTCAGCTCGGTGCTTATCTGGGAACTGTGAAGTTGGTGTGGCACTGAACCAGTCTCCAATTTGAGTTGGAATGATAAGAAGGATTTAGCTCTCTCTCTTTGCTGCCAGACTAGAAGGAGGTGTGTCGAGAGGCTTTTTCCTAATATACTCCAACTTGACAGTAGGATGTATTCATCAATTTGTAAAAGTGGGAGTAGCAGACCTGTATGTTGGTGTGACTCAAGTGAACTATCCTGCAGGCAATAGAAATAAAGTGTCATGTTTGAAATATGTGTCTTAATAATGTGTGATTTACCATCACAGTGCCTCTATCTTCCTGATCTTACTTACCCGGTCTTCATATCACAGCAAGACTGCTTCTTAAGTTTGCTTTCTATCATCTCTCTGGTCATTGCTAGCTTCTTCCTTACCAGGATCCTGGTAACAGGCAATTCCTCTTGGCTTCTTATTCTTAAGAAATGCCCTTGCTCTCAGAACTGCAAATACCCATTTCTGTAGGGCTATGGCAAGGTGACTTAACACTCCTCTGTTGTTCTTGGCTTTCAAATTGGGCAGATGTTTAGCGTTGCTACTGCTGCTAGAAATGACATAAACCATGCAACAAATCAATTCATAGATAAAAATATTTTTAATTACTAGTACCGCAGTGCAACTATCCTTCAAAAATTGTTGTTTTTAAATCTCTTACTTTCAACTTTTAAAGCTGGTTTAAACTCTACTAATAATATCAGCAAATACAATACAGAAGTAAGAACGATTTGCTAATATTGCTAGAAAGTTTTTGACTACTAGCTATTTAATCTACAGATGTAAATTTTGGCATGCAAGAAGCCAGGAAATTAGAGAAGTGACGTTATTTGTACTAGAGGTAAAGAACTTGTTTCACTATATGCTTTAGTATCTATGTTACAATAGGTATCCTACAAAAAAAGGAATTGATACTATTGTGCTGTGTAATAAAAGCATTCAGCGTCCCCCAGTGTCTGCTCTGGAGGAGAAATTGGTGATAGCTGTGTACAAAGGAATTGTCTTGAGACTAAAACCTGCAGATAGCTGCGCTGGGTTAAATGGTGCACTGATCTCTGGGCAAGAAATTACCCTGATTTGTAACTAGGTGAACATTTCCTGGGGTAGGGCATCCATACCTCCTTTTAAAGAGTAGTGTCTTGTGATTATAACTTAGTGAATTCAAGTTTCTGGTTGTTTTCATAAAATAGGCTCAAATTTTGTTTGCCTCAGATAGCCTGTTACATGTGGCAAATGCCATTTGAGCAGTTTAGTGTGGTGCAAATTTTAGAAGCAGCACAAATGAAGCATCTCTTTTCTTTGCCTATGGCTACAGGGGGAGCTGACTTAGCTGACAACTGTTACCTTGCAATAACTTCTGTTTGGTAATTTAACATCTGTTCTTTATTGTAGACCTAGTCTTACGAACTCCTTTCCTTGTGGAAAAGGAGGTGGGTAAGGCTTCCTTTTCTGTGGCTGCTTATTATACCAGAGGGTTTTAAACCTATTTTTTCCTTACAAAAATGGAGGTAACTGACTATCAGTGACTGCTTTAGGGACCTCTTCCTGACAACTGGTAGCAGTACTTAGCAATACTCTACTGGAGGAGCAACGGGAAGTCCATTTTGTTAACTTGCTGACAAAATGTGTTTTCAGGCAAAGAGAGCAAATCTCCTGCGTGGTAGGTGTCTCCCCAGAGTTGTGCTTGCAGTTGAGACAGATTCTCATTTGTTTTTTATGTGCCGTGCTATGCTGTACTCTTTTCTTTGAGAGCGCGATATAAGTAATTGATACATTCTCTTATTAAACTTTCAAACTTCTCTTTCCCCCTTAAATACGGGGTGGGGGGTGGGTGGGGAGGGGTGGTCATATTGGTAAGCATTTGTTACACTTATCAATACAAACACTGAGATTAACTTTTTTTTGTTCTGGATGTTGATGCCACCCAAAATAATGAATCTTAACACTTACAGGATCATCTTCAGCACTGTCATCCCTGTTCCTCTGGTAAAGATGTGCTGAAATCTTAAGTAGTAATTAGGGCACTCTTCTGCATGCATTTGGTTTTCCATGTCAATGTGTTTTTCTCACCGCCTTGTTTTGCTTATGCTCAGAAAATAAAGCATGTCTCTCTTTCAAGGTACGCAAGTCTCATTACACTTCAGTACATTTTTCAGAGCTAGTTTCCATGCTTTTTAAACTTCATTTGGAGGACTCTATGAACAACTGTTCAATTCAAGAAGTTAACTATGACAGCAAAGAAAACATGAGAAAAACAGGTTTACCAGTGAAACTGTGTTGCTTGGCTGCATAGTGTGAATACTGAATGCACACTTCTTAAATAACATTTAATAAAATAAAGGCCTCTCTTTCTCTTAATGTTTATAATTGTGCAATTTGTGGATGCAGTACTGAAGCACAGTGTTCAAAGTCATTGACCCTAGCATGGTGGTGTATATTTTCAGGGGTCAACCGCAGCTACACAACTGCTTCTGATTAGTTTCACCTAATCTAATTGAAACTAACGCACCCATTTTGCCCAAGAAACAGTAATGCTAGACTTGGGCTTATTTTTGCATAGTTTGATTGCTTCTTGGGGCATGTCAGGTTAGCAGTAAAAAGGTAATATTGTATGGCACTGAAGGTTGTTTGCAAGGACTACAAAATGTGCAATAAAGATGTGAGCTAAGTTATGTTTGTGTGTATACATGTATAAGTGTGTATACATACTTACAATACATACTTCCTGTAAACACTGCAGTACTATCAGCTCATCTAAAAGAGATATTGTAGCTCAACCACAAGGCCTGGGCTCTGCTGGACACTAACTGCATAGGTCTTGTGGGCAGAGAAGGCTGTTATCAATGGGAATGGGAAAGGCTGGAAGACAAAAGGCAAAACACTTCTTGCACCATCTGCTGCTTTTATGTAAGAGGGGGACACGTGTATCTGATATAAGAGCTGTCTATGAGTCAGAGATAAGGAAGAAATAATAGAGGCAGAAAAGCTAGGGAATAGAGGAAGAGAATAGCATTTAGTCTGCAACGTATGTATGAGAGAAAAGGCAAAAAACTAGTTCTACCTTCTTTTGTTGGAAAGAGATAAAACTCTTTAAGCATATATATTGTCATGATAATGAATAAAACAGGTCATTTATCAACCTGAAGGGAGCCTGAGACTTCTGCTCTGAATGGACCAAGCTTAAGTAATATGAAAGGTCTTTGTAACTTTATATGAACAAGTTGTTCTTATCCATGTGCACTTCACAGAGTACTAATGACAAATACCTTTTTTTAAGGTCAGCTTCTTTGAAATCTGTAACTATCTGTCTGTATATTGTACATCTGCAAGCTGCTCTAAGATTTGCATGACTGTCTTCCCCACAGGCATAGATTATAAGACTACAACGATTCTTCTGGATGGCCGACGAATCAAGCTACAGCTCTGGTAAGTTTGTGCTCCCTCGTAATTTATATTTTAAAGACACAGAAATGCAACTCTTCAGGGCACGAGTTCTCCCTTACACTTCAGAAATATTTAGTCAACTGAGGAAGAGCAAGCCAGGCAGCTAGCCCTTTGAATAAGTCACGCTTTCTCTTTACCTCCATTTTGCATCTATTTCATGTAAAATGGGGGACCCTACAGTTTCTCTACGTGAGAGATGCATAATAAATGTAGAAGAAAGGCACAAAAGATTACAAGTGCCTTCAAGATAGATGCAAAGTGCCTTCAAAGATTATAAAATATACTGGTAATGAGAACCATGAAAGTACCTTAGAAAGTATACAGTGATTGAATAGCAACATCCCTTTGCTCAGTTTATTAGTAGTAATGGTCAACTAAATAACCACAGTATTAAAAAAAAAAAAAAAAAAGGGTGTTATTGCTCATATAATTTAATTGATATGCATTCTGATGTGATTGATCTTTATAAAAACATGTCAAGAACAAATAAAATTATTTTACGACAAATGTTTTTCCTGTCGGGTCAAATACTTGGTCTGTCAGGGTGCTTTTATGTTAAGGTTGTTTGAAGATGGCCATCTTCTGGCTCATTTAGAAATACACAGCAAGTGATACAACTTGAAAAATGCAGCAACATTACTGCCTCTTAAATACATTGTTTTCCT